CCCTGGGAACGAGGTTGGATATACATAATTCATAAACTGTATATCCACACGAAGTCTCGCTTATATTAATGAGTTTTACTGTAACAAACCTTTTAAAGTTTCCATTGATAGATAGGTTGTTTGCCTGCAGTATTGTTTGGTAAAACAGACCAAACTTCTAAAATATTGATACCATGCAAGATTTGGTATTCATATCAATTGCTAATCTTATTTGTCAGGTACTGACACCCTGACAAAATCAAATTGGTTTGTGCTGCAACTTAGGCAAGCCTGAACATGTCTTCGTCACACTTGTCATCATACTTTTATTTTATTTATTCTTTTTCCCGACAAGTCCTAACAACCCTGGCAATTAGTGATCACCTGACATTCCTGACAACGCTGACAGTCCTGACACTCCTGACAACCCTGACATCACTGACACTCCTGACATCACTGACAACCCTGACATCACTGACAACCCTGACAACCCTGACACTCCTGACAACCCTGACAACCCTGACAACCCTGACAACCCTGACATCCCTGACATCCCTGACACTCCTGACACTCCTGACAACCCTGACATCACTGACATCACTGACATCACTGACAACCCTGACAACGCTGACATCACTGACAACCCTGACACTCCTGACAACCCTGACACTCCTGACAACCCTGACATCCCTGACATCACTGACGTCACTGACAACCCTGACACTCCTGACATCACTGACAGTCCTGACAACCCTGACATCACTGACAACCCTGACACTCCTGACAACCCTGACATCCCTGACATCACTGACAACCCTGACATCACTGACAACCCTGACAGTCCTGACAACCCTGACAGTCCTGACAACCCTGACAGTCCTGACATCCCTGACACTCCTGACATCCCTGGCACTCCTGACAGCCCTGACACTCCTGACAGCCCTGACACTCCTTAAATATGGCTGATATGTTATATAAATGGTTACAATTTTTCATGCTATAGTATATTAGAGCTCTTTGTATCTTCATAGTGTTTTGGAAATGTTTAATTTCCTGCAAGCAATATGAAACCATACATGTATTGTATCAGTATTTTGTGTTATTTACTAACTTTATACATGGTGCTTTTGTGGGGAATACAATGTGCATGTCATTTGTAGGAAGAATTAACACATTTCAACTAATGTGGAGCACAGATGGCATTGTAGTTACTGTCTTCTCTGATAGTGTTTTGATAAAATTTCAATGAGGGGCTTGACACCTCATTTTTATCAAAGATATTAGAGCATGCCCAGTGCCCACTCATTGCCCTACTTAATCCCTCCCTTTCAATAGACCTTTATAAAAAGGTTGACGTCAGTAGGCTTGTGACGTAGTTTGCGGAGGAAATCCCGAAATCTCAGAGTTGTTTACTTGTTTTGAGTTTTTAAAAGCCAAAAGAAACCAGTATTATGGTAAGTTTGAAGCAAATTTTTCTATATAGACCAAATGAATTTTCATATTCGTCGTAGTTTAAATGTTATCTGTTTTTATATTAGATTGTACATTATTTACTGTCATCATTTAGCAAATTGTTCTCTCGGTTTGTTTACATATTTTGTTGCTAAGAAGTTCAAATTCATCAGTCTAATATAATCATCAGAATGGCCCCAATCAAGCTGTAGATAGCAATACACAGGCTTAGTGGTCGTGCAAAGAGGCACATAAGTGAATTTAAACTCCGAGTACTTCTTGTACACAATGTCAATGACTCGTATTAAAGACTGATAAGTATTTTATCAATATCATTGACAGAAAAGGACATATAATATACCCGGGTCAAAATTGGCAAGGATATTGAAAAAGCTACCAAAAATAACTTAAAATTTCGTCTGAAGTGTAGAGATTTAAAAATTAAATCTTCAGAAACGAAAGCGGAGCTGTTTACAAATACTATAGGGTTCTGTACTTCTGTGTAAATTTTAGATCATTTTAAAACCTATAAAGTTTGCTTCAGAGCAGCTTTATATAGTTGGGATATGCAATACATTTCCAAGTAATGTACATTTTCAAAATATCTAAAATCATTCTAAATTATCATGTTATACAGTAAGACAAAACCTTGATAGAAAATTAAAGATTGTCGGACCCAGACCCGAAGTGTTATACACGATTGACAAAAGCTACTTGTTATGTATGTTCACTTCAACTATATCGATAAAAATAATAGACTTATGTCTAACTTCACTTATATATGTTGCAACAATAAAAACAGATAAAATTTAAACTACGACGAATATGATACCATAATACTGGTTTCTTTTGGTTTTTAAAAACTCAAAACAAGTAAACAACTCTGAGACACAGAATAGGAAGTTATACCAGAAGCGTAACTCTAGTCGTTTCCCTTATTGTTTGACGTCCACGAAAATTTTAACTCGCTCACGTCAGGCCACGCCATCCTGGCTAGTACAGCCGGAAGTTTTCATCAGGATTTGGTAGGTACAAAGTGCCGGTTGTACTAGCCAGGATGGCGTGATTGATGACGAATCGCTTGTAAAAACGCGGACAAATATTTGCTTGAGTTACGCTTCTGGTATAACTTCCTATTCTGTGTCTGAGATTTCGGGACAGTGCTTCCATTTTCAAAATCAAAATTTCTCATTTTTGTCATCAAAATTTCTCTAAATTCCTTAGATTGTATACGTTATTTCCTTGAAAATTCCTTGAAATTTCATTAGGCGGTTTCCAGTGCTTTTGTAGCAATACAAAGGATTTAATCAATTTTAAAGGCACAAAATAGCACAACTAACAAAGATGATTGCTAGCTAAAAAACCACAGGCTATTATACTGTTTAAAATTAAATATTTGTCATGAGTTTACAACATACACCTTTCCATTGATATAAAAAATTAATTATTCACAGCGTTTGGCGCCAAAAGTTACTAAATCCCATCGCTCAAAAACTTTCGGAAGTTTTCGGAAACACGAGGGAAAAGTTAAAAACAGATTTTTGATTAAACATAATTGATAATTCACTCAAAAATTCAAGAAATAGTGAAACTTTCTTCTGCACTAATGCCATTGGATGAATATTTAAGTTGTTCGGAAAAAATCCTTAGATTTCCTTAGATTTTTTCACTTCCTTAGATTTTCCTTTTCGACACTAGAATTTCCTTAGAAAAGGAAATTTCCTTGAAAATGGAAGCACTGTTTCGGGATTTCCCATTCCTCCGCAAACTACGTCACAAGCCTGCTGACGTCAACCTTTTTATAAAGGTCTATTCCAAGTAAGAAAATTTAAAAAATCAATTTTCAATATTCTCTACAGGCCTACTAGGTCACTGTGATGAATCACAATATTTGAGGAAAACTATATAACAATTTTACCAATGACCACTCCCATATAATTTTACTGATCAGAATTCCTTTTTCTGATTTTATCAACAATCTTAGCAGAAAATGGGGTTGCACAACCCCCTACCCCACACACAAGGTACACCCTGTACTTCAGGCACCCTTAATTAAAATTCAGTATTTTTTGTGCATTTCTCTTTGTCATTTCACATGCATTTTTCTTTGCAAAATTATCCCACATTTATAACACAGTACACAGCTGAAGTAATTTAATTTAACTTTTTCAAAGAATAATAATTAATTACAATAAATAATTTTAAAATCTAAACTATTCTAATAACTTTGTTGCCCCACTGGCTATGACTAATTTGCTCTGCTGTTCAGTATCTTGTACCCTGGATTCCAGAGCCTTTGACAGTAAATAATAAATTGAAATGTCGCGAAGGCTCTGGTTCAACGGGCTCTTGAAGGCTCTGTTTTGTGATTGGCGCGGTTTAATCAAAGAATCGCCCCGTTGAACCAGAGCCTTCACGACATTTCAATTTATTATTTACTGTCGAAGGCTCTGGAATCCAGGGTAAGTATCTTGAAACTTCTAGCCAGTTCTAGGGGTACTCTTACTAGGGGGTACTACTGGTCCTGGCCAGTATATTACTACTCTTGCTATTTGAACCTCCAAAGACCTTGTGTTTCATTCTTGTCCACATTAAAGTTTCAACCTAAATAAGAAAAGTGAGTTAGTTAGTTAGTTAGTCTATCACTGGGTCATTCCAGAAAACATCCATACCACCCCCACAGAGGAAATAGGAAGTTAACCCCCCTACCCCTAGCCTGCGAACAGGCTCTCAAGCTGAATTGAGAGCCTGCATCGATGACTAATGAATTTGAATATCTGCCCCGTAACGTTCGTTTTTCCAAATATGGAATTTCTATCCTTATATGGTGTTGTTTACAACTTTCGTGCAAACTAAATTTAGACCGTGCAAACTAAATTTAGACCGTACAGTTTATACTGTTTTTCGAAATATAAGATATTGAAGCAAAAGTTTAAATGTTTTAAATACTGTTTTCTCAAAACAGAACACTTTGAGATAAGATGGCCAAGACCAATTTGATCAGTTAATGTGTTTTTTATGCATAGTGCTAGCAGTTGACATATATAGAGCTCAGCGGAATAATATAAATTGTAGCATCTGACCAATAAGAATTTTGCGTCACGATTTGAGACGCAGATATTCAAATTCATTAGTCATCAATGCAGACTCTCAATTCAGCTTGAGAGCCTATCCTACCCCCTTCGGATGTCCTCATACATTTACTATTGTCAGAAACAATTTTTTCTCCCCTCCCCCTCTGGACGGCAGAAATTTTTTCTCCCCTCCCCTTCTGGATGGCAGAGGCACTGCATGCCTCGGTAAATAAATCACATATCCCCTTGTTGCTTCAAAATAACCTATACTTATTTACACTTGGATAAAAATATTAGCATATGAGGTCAGTCTTCAGCTTAAAATAATACCAATACTGATCAATATATACTCACAGGGGCGTCGGAGCAGGTCTAAAAGTGGGGGGGGGGGGCTTAGCGCCTGCCAAAGGCAGGCAACATAAACATTTTAAAACTAGAGTCTCTGAAATATTAAAACTAGAGTCACTGAAATGCCATTTCCTGTACTTTAGAAGGATATTTAAGGAGATTTACAGAGTTCTAAAGGTAACAAAATGTCATAAAATATCTCAAATTGTTTTGTCTACACGCATAACTGAAATAAAATCAATTAACTTTGAGGTTTATTATTGACCATTGTTAAAAATTAAGGGGTCGAAACTCCAAAGACAAAATGGCCACCCAACTAAAAAAGTGCCCCCCCCCCAGCCTCCGACACCACTTTATACTCAATCAGGATTTGATTACATCCTTTCTGTTAGGCAAAGCCAGGGCACCAACAACCTTTTATACCTGCTTATCTAATAGCATATACTATATGCTCAGAAATATATTAGCAATTTAGCAGCTTAAAAGTACATGCTAGTCTGTAATTCAATTATATATTTTTATAGTCGCATACTTGTACTATATTGACATTTTTATTGTTTATTTTTATTGAACATATGCTGTCTAGACAGTCTAGCATATAAATATTATGTTTGTATGGCAACACCATTTAATATATGCTAATAAAGATTGAACAGTATTGTACTGTACTGAACTGTATTGTAATTTGAACTGAACCATGTGTATGTATGTATACATGAG